CCACGACACCACGGAAGGGCCCACATTGAAATTTCGGGCTGAGTCGACCCAGGGGATGCAATTCGCCAACCGGCCACTACAAATGTGAGCCGTTGCTATTTTGCGCGGACAATGCAGGGGACAGCGATCCAACTCGGGGGTTTGCTGGTATGGTTAGTGGAGTGGCAGTGCGATAACAGACAGCTAACAGCAAAGGCAGCCCTCCCACCCCGTATACTTGTATAGCCATTCACGATCCGTTGGGGCAAGTGTTGTTAGCGAGCCCCGGTCAAGGCCGGCATGGCACTCATGGGGGCGGTGTACGGCAAACACCGCACCCGGCCGCCTTTGTCTCCCCATTGCTGATGTCTGTACACCGCACCAGGTAAGTCACTCGAGTCCGAGTCCAGGACCGGTTCACTGTTGTCGTGCGTCGCGAGTGGGATCGAACTCGGGGTCGCCAGTTTCGTAGCGCAGTGCACGGAGCACTGCGCCACCCGCTCTCTACAACCACGAAAACACAACGACGCAGATCGCCCGTGGAGCCTTAACAGCCTGTCCGAGCAAGTGACGTTAGCGAGCACCTATGAAAGGCGGCCCGGCACACCACAGCACATATCCACAGAAACACAAGCGAGATAAACATGAATTATGCGACACGGCTGGTGTGATTGGGCGGGGTATATGTGCGGGGGGAGCGGTAGTGGAGCGGTTAGCGCGCTGAACGACAAATCCGCACAGCACCAGTGACGATTATTGTATCAGGACAGGTCCTGGACCTCCCTTAGGTCGACCCAGCATAAAATGAGTACTTTGTGCGGTGTGTGAACATCGCCACGAGGGAGACAAAGGCGGCCGGGCGTGGTGTTGGCCACCCACCACCTCGTGTGCCGTGTCGGCCACAATAAATGCTCGCTAACAGCACTTGCCCCAACAGTTTGACTTATGAGAGTCACAAAGCGTTGTTCATGGAATGTTTCCACCAATTATAAGAGCCACTGACACTGCTGCAGCATCAATGCCATGCGCATGGATACGAAGAACCATGTAACGTGTCAATACTACGGTGGATTTAAAAGGGGAGAACATTTCTAGGAGGTGGAATTTCTGGCCCACCTTCATAGCACCTGATGTGCTATGAAGGTGGGCCAGGTCATGTGCAATGTGCTGTGAAGAAGGGTCATTGTCCGAAACGTCGCCTATCAATTATATATATTGTCCTTTTAAGGTCACTGTGTTATTTACCGATGTCATCACTGCCAAAGCATCATCAGCAGCAGCCTGTTCACCAAATAATCGGTGCATGAATATGGATCAACCCGGGACGCATTTTGATGTGCAGAGTGAAAGGCTGCATTCGTCAGGGTGTGTGAAAATGCGATGTGGGGATGATATGTAATTATGGATTACTCACCTACCTGCCGTACTGAAAGAACGTCCACCACAGAAATGATAATCTGCATGATAAGTTTTCACCATATGTGTGCTTTGACAGTATGAAAAAAAAAACCCTTTCGGCTCTCCACTGCTGGGTGAAGTCCGCGTGCGTCATGACCGTTGTCTGACCATACTTCACCACCTTGGTCAGTGCGGGTTGACGAGGAATGACCTCGAGAACTGCTCAAATATCACTGTCAAACGCTAAACGATGTTGTTGAATACGATGTATACCCACTCTGTGCCCCACCTTTTCAGAGATTGGCTCGTACGTTCGCCTAGGCTGCTCGTTTACGCAGCCTTAACAGCGGGACGACACATCCACGCCTGGAATTACATTGAGAGACAGGACGGAGGAACGCGTGGATTGGACATCAGGTTTTGAAGACTTTTGATTGTAACCGTGCAGACAAAAATAAATAAATGGCTGACGGTTCCACGATATCGAGGGAGTGGCGGTCAAAGCACGTAACGTACCCGAGAAGGATCGTATCCCCGGGGGTCGGGGGAGGGGCCGGCCAGGAGGGAGATGGAGCGATTGAATCGGCTCGTGTGGTACGAACTGGGCGGATTTCAACATCGCCGGGTAGATAACGGTGGCTCGACAAGAGGGCTTCATCCAACAGTGAATTGACCGTGTTTTATGATGATGATGATGATAGTGACAGAGTGACAACGGCGGATGCCATTAACTGGCTTTAGTCAGGAATCGAACCCAGGTTATTAAGTGGTGAGATGTTTTTCAAGGGGACCACTGCAATGATTTGGTGGGGAGTTTTTTTTTACACACAAGATAGCCTCGCCGAGTCTCAAGGCTATTTTTTCAGCAGCCTGCTATACCCCGCATGCATAACTAAACATCGCGTGTTATTGTGGTACTGCCTTGGCAGTGGTGCACACGCACAAAACCCCAACGCAATGGTTAATAACACTGCTCCAAAAGGAAATCATAAGTATGTAGATCGTGCATAGAGGAAGAGAGAGCGAGAGAGAGAGAGAGAAGCACCAATGCAGGGAGGATAGTGGGCTTCACATGTGTTAGAAGACACAATAAATATCTCTCTCTCTGCTATGAATTAGACCCATCGCGCGAAACGTCAACTACTATATATATTGACAAATGTGTTGAGTATTTCACTCGCACCGCATGGGTGGATAGTGCATGCAAATGATTAATTGTTGTTGCGTGTAAAAAATAAATGAAAACAAGTCCCCGTCGAAAACCCATGCACATTAGGAGAGATCCGATGGGAACGTTGACGAATAGACACAGTCGCCTGCAGACACCTACTTGCTGTACTGCCCCCTGCAGGTATCATCTGCACCACCGGCTTCTTTAACGCTGCAGGTGGGTGAGTGTCTCGCATTGAGTCGCCCTGGCTCCATCTCTACGTGACCCACTAACACCTCCCACCCCCCTCCGTCCTACCCTCATCGCCAGCATTCGAGTCGACAGATTGCAGGGGGAAAATAAGTGCGTTGTTTTTTCCCCCCCCTTCATAATCGGAGAGCTCACTTTGACACGGCCGGCATTGCGATGCCTTGCAGCCAGAAATTATTAAATACCAGCGGCGGTGCATTTCGTACATTGCGGGCGAGTGCTTGCTGATTACGATCAGCGTTTTATGTTGTGCTGACGGTTTGATTCGCGCTTGTTACGGCGTGTTAGCAATTGTTCGGGTATTACATGAGAATTCGTGTGTGTATCGAATGCAACGTTCGGCCCAGGGCATAATTAGATAAGCAAACTACAAAGAACACATCCGTGCCAGTGACCCTTAGACCACCAAGCCACTATCTCACTTGCCACATCATTAATGCTAAAATTTATTTCAGTGATGGCCTCCGCGGATGTGGCAATGACGATGACCCAGATCATCGTAGCCCCTTCGAAGTGCTAAATTAAGTACGAGCGCTTGGTGCGAATATTAAGCCGCGCGATATCGATGGACTGCTCTATGGCATGGGAATGTGGAATGTCCAACCATTGGCTCAGTGCTGTCAACGATGGCCATATGAACATAGGGACACTATGACTTTAATATGTAGGTGGTTTGAGTCCACATCGTATCGCCATCACGTGCAATGAATAAAGGTCTGGTTCTAGACACACCAGTGCATGTGCGGTGCAGTCTATAATATTATATAGACTGACCAATGAGTCGAGAGTGAGTCGCACACTGCACTGAGCATTGCCAGTGTTTTTTGTTTTGTTTTTGTTGCATACATTCAGCTGTAAATTCTCCCGGCGTCAATAGAGTCACGATCCAATATTTACGCTCTCTCCTTTATCCACTCTGCACCACCAACATCGTCTCAAATGAACACTTCTTTAAGGAAGCAATTCCCAGTTAAATTCGCACGCCGACTGATTGAAAGCAGCCACGCTGTATTTGAGTGCGTTTTCTTCCGTGCACTCGAGCTTGCTTGTAGGCAGGGACATGGGTATACTCCTCTAGAGGTGAATTAATTTTGATACATTATCATCACATTTGCCGTGCTCATCAATTGTTCACGTTCAGCATCTTCATCAAAGTTTTGTCTGCCGACACGCATGCAATACCAAAACCGCAGTAACGTTCGTACAAACTCCACAATTCACGTGGCATGCACACACGGGGACACCTATTTGCGGCGTTCTCATTTGCGTGGATTCACAATTCGTATCGGGGTCGGTTTCATTGTGACTGCGAGACCACTTCGACGGAGGCTTGTCGTCAGTGCGCGCACGCGATCGTACAGCAATAGACAAACACGCACTCTCCCCGTGCACACATTCAATCACAGGCGATATGGAACACTCATTCATGCGTGTGCAATGCGTGTACAGTACATACCAGTGTACACTCGCCACGTGCAAATACCCCTGGTATAATTTGAAAGTGATCATCGTGTATCTATCACGGCAACTTGATACATGCGCCGAATCTTGGTGCTGCAGCGCAAGTGCAGTTTTGTTGTTGTTGTAGCACGCATTGTGCAACTGGCGATACGCTCACGGACGATTCACGTTCACACAACCCAACGCAGCCGCTGTAGGGCTTCACATATAAGCATACTGCAGTGCATCATTGAGTTGTAGCCACACGAGTCCGAGCAAGTCAAACGGCCGGCGTGCAGAGCCGCCGCGATCACCAAAACACACCGTCGAAGATCAAACAATCAAAGGGTCTTCTTGCCTTACACGCCTTGCGAAGCCGTGCCAAGACGCACGCAACACACATCTCAGCGCATCGTCGCAACACAGTGTACAGTACTCTGCAGGGCATTGGACTCCGACAGTCTACAGAGCATTGCTGTTGTCAACAACGCACGCGTTCATTGTGCAGACGAGATAGGCGTGCAACACAATTAGCCTGCCTTTGCACAATTAACACAACCTAGCTGGACATCTGATAAGGCGACTGCCATGAAGGTGGCAATAAAGTCACCCACGATCGCCCCCCTTTTTTTGGGGGGGGGGGCGGTAGGGGGTCAGAGAGGGTTCCCTACGCTCTGCCTGCCCCCCACAGCCCCCCACGCTTGCCCCCCCCCCCACTCAATCACCCCCTCCCAGGTGTGTGAACCTCTCCTCCGCGTCTCACCTGCCCGGACGTGCCGCTGTTGATGGGCCGTCACTCCTCCGCCGCCGCCGCCGCCGCCGTGAGCGAGCGCCCCTTGGCAAAGGACGGCGACCGCGAGGAGACTCAGCGAGGCGACGTACAAGAGGCCGGCGCCCGCCCACGGGGCCCCGCGCTCTCCACAGAGCATGGCGCTAGCAGCGAGCGCCAGGAGCAGCGGCAGCAGCGGCAGCAGCAGTAACCAGAATGGACCCGTGACACGCGCGGGGCGAGGCGAGACTTGAATGCGAGCGCGGCTTGGAGTCGTGGTCGGCGCACAGACCCCGTGCGGACGAGAGAGCGAGAGAGCGAGATCTCCTCCTGCAGGAAGGAGAGCAAGGCGATGTGCTTTGCTACACTAGTGTCCCATCTCTCTCTCTCTCTTTGTGTGTTCGGCGAGCGACTCTCGATTGCAGCTTAGAAAGTGAGAAGAGCAGAGGGCTGCCGCTGCCGCTGCGCTAATTGCGAAACAAGTGTTGGATGAAACTGGAGCTCAATCCTTGAGTGCGGGCAGATTCTTTCGCAGAATTCTGCCTGCGTTTCCCTTCTCCTCTCGGCTCTCTGCGTCTTCCGATTCGCCTCCGACCTCCTCCCCTCTCCGTGCCGTCGCGCCTCTCGCCGCCTGCCTTGCGACGTGTCCCGTCTCTGTGCCGCGGCTCCCTCTCCTCTCGTCGCAGCCACTCACTCCACCTTGGCTCCTTTGGAGTCTGATCCTTGCCCGCGCTGCTCTCTGTCCACTCCACGGACCGCCACCGTCCGTGTTTGCAGCGCCTCGGACCAACAAGAGAACAACAACAACAACAACCAAAGCACGCGCCGAGGGCGAAGCGGCTGCGATGCTGTGCTCAATATGCGCCGCTCTCCAAGGTGCTGATCGGAGCACATCGACTACTAACGATCATCATCATCACTATTACACATGCGTGCGTCCCGGTCTGTCAATTGAATGTGCGCGCACGCGTGTGTGTGTGTGCGTGCGACTGTGTGTGTGTGTGGGAGACGATAGTGTGTGTGCGCGATCACGCTCTAGCAGGACACCTCGCGCCTAGCGCCGGATCGCTTTTATCGGAATGCGAGCGAAAGGATGGGGAATGAAGGCAGGCGCCGCTGTCTGAGATGGATGATGAGGCGGGGGGGGGGGGTTGAGTGGGTGGTGGTGTCGGGTGGATGGGATGGTATGGTTGGAGAGAATAAGAGAGAAAAGGGAGGGAGAGGGGGAAGGAGGGAGGAGAGAGAATGGCGTGTTAGGGCGGAGTTTAAGGGATTGCAAAGCGCATCGTGAAATAAATAATGAAAAATAAGCAAACTATCCCCTTCATTCACTCACTTATTCCATAATGCACGCTACTTACTGGCGAGCAGTATACAATGCACACGCAGTGCCGCGCACGCGAACGCACGCACGCACACACACACTCACGTTTATACGCGGTCCTCTATTGCCCAAGCAATTTATAGTTGTTGGAGAAATATGACTTTTTATAATTCCACGAGGCTCTGGAGAAAGGCCCCCTGTTGGTGAATATGTTAGCTCTGCTTGGCCAGCACACACACACACGTGTCTGTATGTGCGTGTGCGTCTTCCATAGCTCTTGTCGTCCCCAAACAAGGCCATCGGTCTCTCACTCTGAGTTTAAAAAAAATATAATTAGACAACAGTTATTATTATTATCATTCTTGCATCCATGATATTACAACAGCTATTTTCTTCTTATTATATCTCCGACATGAGCAAACAGGCGTTATGCTCAGGTGGCGAGTTCAATTTACCTGTCAGGGGTCGATAAAATCGAGAGTACCACAATGTGGCAAAGTGAACAGAAATTGTTTTATGTATGGACTTGACCCCGCCAGGCTAATGTGGAGTGTTCAGCGATGGCTCTTGGAATGTGGCAAAGATAAAAAATAGATAAAAATTAAACCGCTCTGATTATCGGTTGATTTACACAAAATTGGCACTGTAATGGGATGTGAAGTGCTTCGTCATAATATTTTAAGTTTGTTAGCTCCATACCTTGCCATGCAATCAATTTATTCTGCCAAAGGTCTAAGGCCAACCAACCAATTTCATTGTCCTACGAGACCACATTTGTCAATATTCGCTCATTTCTGCAGGAATAGGAACGTGCGCACATACACACACACACGCAATTTACCAAACGTATACGGAGAGGTAATGCACATCTTATAAATTCAATGTAATGCATTTGACCACACCGAGCGCACATTACTTCACAAATAGGAACCTAAACCTTTAAATAAACTCGTTTTTTATTTTTTTTCCCGTTGGAATTATGTATTCAGGCTAATTCAACAGTCATTCTCCTTAATGCGTAATAAAGACTTCATCGTTTTTTTGTGTGTGATTTAATACTGCAGGTTTGGTGTTGCGTTATGTTTAAACTCGTATACTGTACTGCATATCTAGATATACTGTTACACGTGGAGCCACGGGCTTAGTGGCTCAGCGAGAGGAGCGAGCGGCACCCAATCAGAGGGTTACGGGTTCAAATCCTGGACGGCGGTTTTTACTCAGCCCATCATCCTTCCCCGGGGGTCGATAACGAGAGTACAATTTTGTGAGAAAGTCAATAGTGGTTGTCCCATGGATGAACTCGCCCCCCCCCGTCCGCCATAGGAATGTGGAATGTCTATAAACAGATGACCGCTTTAATGCTCATTTGAGCATAAAATCAATTGGGCGTGTGTGTGTACGCGTGTGTTATTTACGAGCTGGTAGGCATATTGTTCCATCGTGCACACGTGAATTGGTTCGCATCGGCTAAGCCGAAAAATAAATTGTCTCGCGGATTCATTCAGATTTCCCGTCGCTATACAGATGAGCAACAGCGCTAGTCTGCATCCCACAGCGGTTGAGCTGGCTTGCCACTGAGTTGGACTCCCGCTCTTACGCCTGTAATGCATCCTTAAATGTAAGAGCATTAGTGGACTCCCAGTCAAAAGGTTGCAAGTTAAAATCCCAGTGCGCGGGGTCGGCTCAGTCCATCATCTTTCTGGCGTCGATAACATTTGCTATATCAAATCTAGATATGCTATATCGTGGACGTGATTACTACTGTTGGTCATAATAGAGGTATTTTATTTGGTGTTAAAATGCGTAAATATAAATGTGCACTGTACTTGCTCCATAGAAGAGACTATCACCTTTGAACTCACGTTGTGCCGCTGGACGGGAGGTGTGTGGGCGGGGCTTGGTGACGTCATCGCTATAATCAGTTGTGAAAAAATTGCTTTATAGCTCTTTGTATTCCTCCAGTATAAATACATCTCATGATTACGCCGAATTTGGCTTTGAGGGGGGGGGGGGGGGGGGCTGGGTGGTTTCCCGACTTCGACATGCGGGATAATAATAATTCAGATATTCTTGGTTCTTTCGGTAAATTCACGTAGATAGATAGAAAAAAAAATTCTGCAGTCACGAAAGTTTTAAGTCAAAATAATTCAGATGTATAATGCGAATTCCATCCTAGGATCCCAATACCCAACTCATGGAAAGCAGGAAGCAATAACAGAACCAGGGCCAACCAACAGACCCAACTAAAAGAGGACAAGGCCACTTTAAAGAGATGGGTTTTCAAAGCAGACTCAAACCTGTCTATCGTGATGCGAGAAGGTCGCCACATCTAAGAAGGGGGGCATGAACTGATCGGCGTCAACGAAGCGCCGCCGTCGATTTACGCCTTTTCCGTTTTTGAGCGTTCGAGTCACGGACGGCATCGACGAATCGTCCCACGTGTCTGGGAAATGTCGTCGGTCCGCTGTGGTCAGGGCCCACCGCCGAGGAACGGCCGCTCCAACGCTCGTTTGGCCGAGCGCGGACAGAAGCCGGGACGCTGTCGGATCGCGCGGCGAGGAGACTGGCAGAGTCGAGTCAGCGTTGATGTCGCAAACACGCGGCTACCATCTCCCCGTTGTACAGCCCCCGAGTCGGTGTCTGAGAAATCCCATGACGACGACGTGCCAAAGTCGTAGATAATTTTATGATGACAAGCGAGGCATTTGAAAGCCGCTGCACCTTTGCATTTGAACTTTTTTTTTCTTTCATGCCGGGCTTATTGCACGGTGAGCAAAGCGTCGCAACGCATCCCACTGTTGCACTTGGACAAAGGTGGTGCGCGTTTAATCGAGCGTTGACGTTGTTTTTGGAAATCTATTTACGGACACTCGTGTTGACAAGGGTGCGTCTGGACAACGAATGTGACTTATTTCTATTCGATCGACCAATAAAATAAACGACTTCATCCAGACAGAATCCAGCAGAGCGCTGTAGATGCAGCGTGCTTGCAGGAGGGCATGGACGTTCCGAATTTCGATTGTTTTGACAGTGATGATGCACATTTGCAAAAGGGGATGGAGGGAGAGGCAGAACAAAAAGACTCCATGGACTCGAGTTGGGCTTGAGTGGGAGGGTGGGCGGAGTAGGAGAAGAGAAAAGGGCATTGGTGGAATGCCGATCCATTTTTTGTTTCCAGCCAAAGTCAACACGCCAGATGGGGCTAATCGAATTCGTTTGAAGAATGAGAGCATCAGATTGTAATTCCGATTACGTAGGCCACATTTGCCACATCTGGCTACGGGATTTCTTGGTGGAAGTGGGTATAGGATTAATCGCAGGAAACCTCGTTCCTGGTCGTGGGCGTGATGTCGATTAATTGTGATTGGGGAAAGAAATAACAGCTACGTTGCACGACCAGCCACGCAGAGAGTATACGCGTGCAAGTTACGTTTCTTTACACACCCATGAGGGAGACTGCTCCAATGGTGAGCCTCGATGCAAGTTCAGTTTGAGTTGCGATGGCCCCAAACACAACCAGTGGGTGGCTGGTAGTTGTTAACCTGGTGACTGGGTGGTTGTAACCTTGATGATGCTCTCCTCTCCTCCCCCTCAACTTGCTTGTTAAGGGATTACATCTTGAATCATTGCCTCACTTGATGCAGCTAATCCGGCTGTGACGGTCCCACCTGATGACGGAGACTTGTGTTGCCTCCGAAACGTCGTGATTTTTGTTTTATTTTATTTTTTATTAATTTTGATGTTTTACCTACGTGACTTTACCGAAAAAACCCAAGAATATAACTTGATGATGCTGAATGGGAATCTCCAGCGAAACGTCGCATACATTATTTCTCCATTGCCTTTGCAAAATTCCTCCAAAGTTTCACCGATAAACAAACTCAATTGCCACATTTGCCCACGTGACTACTCAATTTTTTTTATTTACAGTCAGGTGGTTGAATGGTTATATTTAGAAACGGGCATAATCCGTGCACAATCTAATCCGAAATATACTACTTATGAAAGTGCCAACCTTGGTTTGCGCTTCCCTTAGACTGACTTATTGCTGCAGTGCGTTCTACGGCAGCACTTGTCCTAGAGACAGAAGCCGACAACGCATCCTCGTGTACCAGCTCTGTCTGAATAGGTGCTTACAAACTGAACTTGGCCACATCAGTACGTGCGTGGATGTTACCGACACGCGTAAATGCCGTATGCACGTACTGTACACTCGGTGCAATCTGTGGTGATTCTAAGGGCACTGAGGGAGTACTGTATAGGGGTGCATGGTAACACTTATGCCTCACAACAAGACACACCTCGGTTCGATTCCCGACTCAGCTGCTTTTTGGTGTGGAGGTTGTGTGATCTGCCTGTACATTCTACGTATATTTCCTACGGGTTTTCCAGATGCCTCCAATAGCAACACAAAAAACCCTACCCCGTGCAATGTAACTGGTATTGGCCAAACGTTCTCAAGCTAAACATTGTACCTGCACATTTGTAAATTGGGATTATACCTAAAAAACATCGCCCCCTACTGCCAAATCTTGGCAGGACCTGGGTAAACAAGCGGTTTAATAATATCGTATTTTACTGGTAGGAACCACCTGGTTCCACCAGCCCACAGGGGATTATTGTGTCCATCCGTCGTGCATCCAAAAATGGGAGGGGTGGGGCTGGGTGGAGAGGGGAGGGTGGGGAGGGGCTGGGTGGGGAGGGGAGGGTGGGGAGGGGCTGGGTGGGGAGGGGCTGGTCACCCCGTGTTGCCCTTATA